CTGAAATAGAGTTCCTGACGTTTTAAAAGCTGTTGTAATGTCGAACATCTACAATACTAACAGGTTACCGACAGTCGCTGCATCCATGCGTAGGCTGTGGATAAATCAATGTTTTCATACGCAAGATTTTTGTTCGAAATGCCATAAATTTTTTTGAACCATTAAATGGAATTAGATACTTGATTTTAATGTTAATTTGACCAATTAGAATCAAGCATTAGTCTGTGTAATGGTACAATTGGAAATAGTTATCGTATGCAAGAAAATAGGCTTCATTCCTACATACGGTAAATCCTCCCAAGGCGCTACTTAAACAGATTGATATGTTTCATGTTTGTCGTGCGCATTGTTATATTTGGCTAGCTGTGTGCTGGAATATTCCAATTCTATCGGTTAGTGTGTTTTGTACTTGTCACACATTTGATGCTTCCCAAACAATATGAAGATTCTGGTGTAATTCCTCCAACAAATGTATTTTGCGAATGATGTAATGGCTGGTTTACTTAGCTCCCCCCCCCCCCCCCCCTCCCCCAACACACACACACATCTTTAAATACCATACACCAAGAACGTTAAAGCACGGTGATTATCGAACAAATTCTGTAATTTATGTCAACGTATGCCATGTTCCATGTGAGCTTTTATGTACTTCTAACATTTGGGATAACCTACATTTTAGATGTTCTTGCTGAGGAAAATCGCCATCGACTTTCCACACTTGGTTATTCAAGAGAGTAGACTTGTTTGAGTGAGGATTTGAAGAATATCTTGAAAGAAGTGCACCTATTCTGAATGTTATTTCTATAATTAGACTTGTAGTTAAGATGCAGACAGACATTTCGCCCCACTAGGTAAACACATTTTATTGCAGAGGCTTACAGAATCGGTTCTACATACCACAAAGGGAAGATTAATAGTTGAAGCTGAGAAAATGAGGGCAACTATGTAGTTACAGGAAGGCCATAGATGAGAGAGAAGTGGCCTTGATGTACTAGAAATGTCACTAAGGTGCATCGAGACCGGCCATTATGTATCTGTGATGCAGGGAGGATGGGATTGAGAGTGTCGAATTCGATCAAAACGTTCGAAGAACTTGGGGAAAAGGGACAAATTAGTAGAATTTATCTGGCTTTGCCTCTCTGAAGGGCAATTTAGATTCCGTTTTTCATAGCGCCTAATTAGTGATTTTGACACATGAAAAGGAAGACTCGTAAATATTGACGGGAAAGTTGTAGCGATTGAAATCAATCTTCAACAAGGACTGAGAATATTGGTAGATTTAGCTGTATGTTTTTACATCATTATTCGTTCAACACTTTACGCAGACATTATAAGGGCATTTGATAGGGGAATAATTTCACAATTTGAAGTCTTATGATGTCAAAGTTGGCATTTGTTATCGAGGGAGTAGTATGCTGACCATTTCATCTGCTCGAGTCATTACCATGTGTTCAGGCGTTTGATATGCCCGTCTAGATGTTCGTACATCATTACGTGAACATTATGAACACATTGCAAGAACACATAGGCATACACGAGGGATAGTCTCCAGTTACTGTTACGTCATTTCACCACTAACAGCATTTGCTACACAAAACAGAGATGTGTCCTTATAGTGAAAAGTTGATAAAAAAACAGTTTATTGGCGTGCACTTAAACTTCAGTGTCCATCTGCTGTGGTAGTCCTGAGCTGGTTCCTTGTATGTGTGAATGTGTTTAATAGATGTATATACCCAGTGAAACATTATCAGTCATACTATCATCTTAGTTACATTTACAATGGGATACTTACATTTATGTCCAAATGCACATTTGTTCCATCTGAGTTCATGAATTTATCACGCCAATATCACCTTAAGACGTCTCATTGCTGATCCGAATGACATTGGAATCTGTTATTGCAGTCGACATCGTCACAATCGCATTACACTTGTCAGTTGTTGTCTGATGATAATCACTTTATAGGCTTGTTCGGGGTATCATTTCAGAGTTAGTGAGTTAATCGTATCAGAAGCTATCGGTCGCCTATGACAACCAGATATTACATTCCATAAAGTAATTAATATTATGTCATGATAATAAATCATTCCATTTATAACCACGATATGCACAATATTTCAAACCTGACAGTGTTTATCGATTTTTTCAAACAATTATTTACTATGAAAATAATAATGAAAAATCGCGAAAGGGAAGACACGATTCAAGCAATGGAGGAGGTATGCGGTGTTTGTTTGGTCATATATTTCCATCAGTTGATACAGCTAATGTAAATTCTTCAATACAAATTTCACTTTTAAACGTATTCTGTGACCATGAAATAGCCAACTTACACGCGTGCCTTTTACGTCAACAGCTTTGTACAAATTTACTTTTCATAAATCAAGCGGGGTAATTTCTCGACCTAACGTTATTCCAGAGAAATCGAATGTAACGAACAACCAAATACATTCAAGTGTTGGGGCAATGGAGTCTGGTGGCAGTACAAGACAACCTTATTATCTGACTTGGTCAATAACGACTCGCTTCAGCCATCAGTCTCCCTATAATAGGCTCAGCAAGGCGCTTAGGACATGTGTGAAATAAGTAGTTACGAAACTGTCACGAAGATTGCCTCCTATATCAAGAAGAAGATTCGGGTAGAGAAATGAGATCATTCTGAGGGCTTCTGTGGTGGTATTTGGACCCGGAAACGTCTTGCTACGTATGAGACGAGATACTATTTCAAACGACTAGTTACAGCGTTTTACACTAGAGATGTCAACGTTGCGACTGACCAGTGATTGAGTGCGCTGATTGATTGGAAATTTGTAACGCTGGTGACCAATGGTTGAGAGGTGAAGAGGATAACATTATATACCTTAAAACTAGATGAGAGTAGTCACATCTCAGAATGATGCATCACTTACACGTATCGGCATCCAGGGTTATTGGTATACTGTTGTGGTATTTTTGTACCATTCTGTGGTATTTTGTTAAATAAACGTGAGTACAGAGACACACGTTTTGGTCGCCGGTTTGTTTTATTCATATTCCAGGTGACAATCTATAGTAGGCTTGAAAATGCCAGGAATATACGAGTATGGTAAAGTGTATTGACGAATATGCTATCATATATTTAGAGCGCCTCTGTGGTCTAGTTGATAAAGGGTCTTCCCTAAGAGCGGAAGCTCAGTGAACTTGAATAGCCTGGATTAACACAGATTGTGTGACGTATGTAACAGACGTGACAATCTATACACACTTAGGCTCAGCGTTTCTTTGGGCCTTCATATAGAGAGTGGACGTGGATGCGTTAATGACGATCCGTCAAGTAGGATGATATGAAACGCTGAGATCACTTTGATTCACTGTGAAGAGAATCACTGTGTAGTGGAGGATGGGAAGGCCCACAAACCATTAGTCTCACCCACTTACATGAATTCTGGCACGTACGCGTGTAAGTCAGGGAATTAGGTTTCAGTCCATATCAGCTATATGAACAACGCGTGTGGGCATTAAATATTATTATCTGGGGGACTAAGGTGACGTGAAATGGGGTTTAATGTCGCGTCCAAGATTATGAGATTGCGCGCGCGCGAGCGTGTGTGTGTTTTAACATGAATACCAGGGTAACAACAAGTACCATCTTTTAACGCTCTACCACTAGACCACGGCGAATAAAGGATTCGAACCACATCCAGTGCGATGCCACTTTAACCACTACGCCTGAAGCATACTCTTCAAAAGAAGTTAAAGAACACCAGATTGTTTCATATGACTATATTTAATCTCCCATGTCGGGTTATATAATTTTGGTAGTATATATTTATATTTTTATACCTGGAAAAAGGTTAAGTACCACCTTCTTTATTCTTACATTCCCGATTATATTTGTATTTTTTTGGAAATGTCTACATTGGATGTTGATTTTGATATTATTAAAAAAACTAATTAAAAAATTAAAAAAATACCTCATATGGTCGCAATTAGTGAGTTATGCCACTCTGGAAACACACACAAATGTGTTTTATCATAATACAGAGCTCCATTTATGATAAGAAGTTATTTATATCAATATATGTTATGCAGCGTTAAACCTTTTTCAAGGGGTAAATATGATTTCATGATACATTCACATGAGTAATATCTGAGCAGACTGAAACGGAACTAAAATGTAAATTCAGTTATTTTACACTACCTCATTCAGATACCAGTTTATTTCACATGTAACTGAACGAAGGGGAAAGAAAGTAGACATATCATATTTAAACCACACACAGAGCCATCAAGCAATACAGAATACATTGTAGTAAATGATTGAGTGAGTTAAAATTTAACGTCGCATCGACATTATTTCATCCATATAGCGACTTGTAGTAAATGAACACCAAAAAACCTTTACAGCAGATACAACTTTTATGTTTATATTTGACATAAAGTATGTACACATATACAGTATGATTTTCGAATAGTAATATGCTCTATATACAGATCAAAGTGTGCGAAAACCAATGGCTATACAAGCATCACAAGTAGCTCAAGCGTATATAGGATATAGGAGCGAGAGAAAACAAGTTTCCATGTACACCGTGTCCTTGGGTAGGACAATCAATAGTTAACAATAACAGTACCTTTGTCAACTAATATAATAGCCGATCATATCAACAAGGATAAACTATGTTTATCACATTCAGAACAGATTGATATTTGTGTACTACTGTTGTATAGGAGCAGTAAGGCAGTGTAACGTTCAGTTACCCATCCCCTTTAATTGTGTTGACGTCGATATGTGTACGATGACAAATATATACATGGTGTTTTAGAACACATTTAAATATATTGCCATGCGTAGATCTCATGACGGATATATTACCCAAATTTTATAATTTGGTGAAATTGCAGGTTCGATGTGTGCTTGAAAGGTCGTTCAGTGTGAGCTTATGAATTCGTTATTGATTAAAACTTAACCTGAAGGCATTACACGTGATTGACCATGTGATATTCGGAGTTGTTTTTTGGAGGCTCGATTTTTTGTCAGCTGCAGTTGCAAAACCATATACATAATAATATATATATAATAATTCCATTATTAAAGAATACTATTTACTATTATAAAAAAGAGAACGCCTTGCAACAATGTGTTTTAGTGTCAGACAATGTAAAATAGTCTGCAGCATATTTTGTTTTTTTGGTAAGCCAAATCATATTCATAATATAATATAAAAATGGACGGTCCCTTGCTTGGACCTTTTACAATATCTGAGTTTTTTTGTACCTATATGATGTTATAACGTAAAACAGAAAATTGTTCGTGGCAACGGGAGGGTGTAGAAAACGATCCAGGCATACCACTGCCCGCTGTATACTACCAGCACCAGCTTGAAAACTGACAGCAGGGATGGCTCACAATTGGCAGTTTTAGTATAAATGCTTTAGGTAGTGAAGAAAGCGTTGTATAATTACTATTTGTAAAAAAATACATGCGTGTCAGCATTTGTTGTGATTATACATAATTTAGTATATGCTATATAACGTACTTACAAAACTGCACTCATAGTAACTATACCTAAGTCTTGCTTTGCAAACAACAATTTCCTTACATATACTACAAAAAAAAGTTAAGGATCACCTGATTCTTTCATATAACTAAAGTTAATCTGTCATACCATGACATATTACTAGAGATAATCAGTCATGCCATGAACAACTATTACTATAGAAATATGAAAGAATAGGATGTTCTCTAACTTGTGAGAGTAGTTTCGTCATATGGTTCTATGCAGGCTTATTCTACGACCAATTTAAGTGAAAGCAAATTATGAAGCATGGTACGTTTCCACACCTCTTGATACTTAATCTTGCTACTGACTATGTCGTTGACATGAAACCAACATTGAAACATTCTCATTGTTTGACCATGATATCGATAACAGTGTATTTGTTCATAACAGAGAACAATATAATCTATATAATACAGTAACATTCAAGCTTATACATAGCTGCATGAGGGCAGAATAACATGAACTAAACACAGCTGTTCAGCATCTTTATAAGTATATGCACCAAGCCTAAATCGAAATACAATTACGAAACTTTCGCACTTAAGCTGGGTTTGAAATTATCCGTATCGATATTACATACAACGTATAATCAGAATTGTCCTGGAAACTTTGACTCCTGGAGATGTCCTTCGGTGGGACATGTTGAAATGATTTGACCAGGTAAAATCTGATCGCAATGATAATTTTGTTTATGATATAAATAAACAACCGAGCACTAATACATTGTTTGTTCCAAATTCCATAAACACCTTATGTGATATTTGTCTTCAAATTGAAATCAATAATCAACTTCTGCTGAATTTCTGACACGTGGAATATATTATGTCTAAGCTTGGTGTATATATCTTTAATATCTACATGTAGCTACTCCCTCCTCAGAACATTTATAATGAGTATAATTCATGCATTCAATTACAAAGCACAAAGAAAAATAAATACAATAGTATTATAATGACAACACTATATCCTTTCACACAAAACTTGTGACATTCTGTAGATAAACCCGTCTGTCTGGAAGGACATGATTAGATACTTGATTTTCAAAAGGGCAACGTTCACTGAAGCGCTTATAACACACATTCGAGACAACTGTATATCGTCCAGTGATATGGAAATAAAAGCAATAAAATCCTTTCCATAATCATAAGAAATATTTGCCAAAAGCAGTGTCCATTGCGCGATCCGACAATATCATGAGTATACGTTTATGAATTACCATAAAATAGGGATGATACAAGGCGAGTGTACCCTTTTAGAGCTGAGGCACCCGTCTCAAACACACGCAAAGGCAAGTCAAGTGTTCATCTGAACAACCACGGGAACATAGGGAAAGCCAAACTTAGAAAATTGAATCGGACATTATTTCGGTAACTGCTGCGTTAATTTTGGAAATTCCCTCCTTGTGTCTACATGAATAAATTAGAAAGTTTTACTAAGGTCGTGAATTCTGTAACCCTGATAATTTGAGCAAGAGACGCATGACGCCTCTTTGAAACAAACATCCCTGTAGTTGTAGCTCCGGCACGATGGAAGATGCACGAGAAATGATTATCGTTGTCCCCAGTGACTGAGAGAGACTAAGCTGAGCAAATATATAACTGTTGACATTTTCAAAAAAATGTTTGTAAAACTTGAAATTGGATTGTCACATAAAGATAAATGCCGTGTCACAGTAAAAATGTGTGGTTTGATGATCATGTAATAAACGAAAACATGCAGTCAATCAGAATAAATTAAAACCACCCACAAAAGATAAACCGTTTAAACAGCTGGAGACAGAAATCATCAGAGACACACCACTAAGAAGAATAGTTTCTTGTTTGAACTAAGTGTTGTTGGTTAAACACTTCTTGAACGCAGCGACAATTTCAAATACTACAGTACACCATTCGTTTAGAAAGTGGTAGACATATATCCCCCAAAATTAGGAAAAGGTAAAAGAATGAATACTAGTATTCGCTATGAAATATGAGATGTTACGCCCGTTCGTGAAGTTAATGAATTCTGTATAACAGGTCTCTTTTAAAAGCGTTACAGTAAAACACAGAAATTGGTAATGAGATTTCTGTTACACAGGTTGTGTAGCCGGTGCAATAACAAGGATAGCTAAGGTTGAAATTACAGTTCCAGCAAGGAATATACAGAAAAGAATTCTGTCAACAGTCTGCGCCAGTCGACGCCAGTCCTGCATCACCTCATAATCTTTTTCCTCTTTCTCATGCTTGTCCAGAATACGAGTTAAAGAAAACAAAATGTCCTCGTAAGACTTGGTAAACTTTCCTCTGGAGTTGGACTGCTTTGAATGTCCATGACTATGTTCACCCGATACACCTGACAATGTAGGGTACGCCCTATCCCTTCTGTCCTGGGAGGTATTCTGACTATGAGTGTCATTTGACAGCGGCTCGCCCACACCATTGTCTAAACTGAGTTCATCTTTCAGCTCCTGGGCAATGTTTTCCAAGGTTAGTTTCAGAGACAAGTTTCTCATGAAATTCCCTTCATTGGACGAGCAATGGTTAAGAAAGCACCTGTCGTTGTTGGAAAGGAATATACTAGGATGACGATAGCTCCCAAGAAAGATCTTGCGCAGCCAGCCTGGAATAGCTCTTTTGTCTGGGCCTCGGTGATGGAGGTTCAGCACAAACACCGTCATGATGACGGAAACAGATGTTAGCGACATGACTATCGTCAGGTAGATGCCTGTAAGATAACAGTAAAAGAATCCTTAGATTGTAGTCAGTGTAGCAACTACTAGGGGCGGTAAGCTATTCAGTGTGTGGGTTGAAGCCATATCATGTCGTGTAGCACCAGGGCATTTCAAGCCATTTAACCAAATCAGGCTCCGAATAGACGATTTCTAATTATGTTACAGATACCTTAAGCAAGGCATTAACAGTTTTCCTAGAATGTTGTAATTTAGAAATTGGAAAGTATTTTTTTGTCATCCCTTAGATCTCTGTATATGGTAGCTGTGGGGCATTGTCATTCTTTGTCCATGGGAAGATTTGAACAAAAACTTGAAGTCGATATCGGTTCATAACACACGTGGGAAATTGACATAAAATATATCGATTTTTCACACACTGAATTTAGGACTGATTGAAAAACAGGCTTTTGAAAGCTGGATTAAGTAATAATTGCAAACTTAGAAACATTACCTTGGGACATCATTTTAACATTAAAATCAACATTTGCTAGCTAATCAAATAATGTAATCTTTCTTCTTGACTGGACATATGGAAGAATTGTGCAATATTGCCATAAAGGTAAGATCAATACAGATAGGCTGCATCTTTAAGGGGCGTTTTTCTTCTTTTACAACGTTAGGATTACATTATTTCGACTTGCTGATCACGACACATAAAAGATATGTTGCTTGAAAGGAAAATACTTTCACGATTTTCAAGACTGTAGTCGTGACAGTACAGTGATGGAATCCGCGAACACTGCTTTGTTTGATTAACGAAGTGTTAATGTTTGTGCCCCAAAAAGAACAGAGCTGTTTTTCATCGTTGTACATCTGAATATTGATCTTAAGATAAAGACATTTAAGCAACACCAAATTCATTCTATATTCATATTGTAATACATTGTCTGAATGTAAAGATGACAGGGATTATCTAGTCATCTCTGCCGCCACAATCATCTATGCAGAGTTGCGGCCCTTAGGCGTGCCATGGTCCTACGGTGGTCAGTTCGAATCCCAGATTCACCCTGATAATCATTAATGGTTTGTGAGCAGCATACGCGAGCTGTGTGTTACAAAGTGGTAAACGTGGCAACTGACTAACGTCGGGCTTTTCTCCAACATATAGCAGACACACCGTGACATAAATTAACAACTTTTCAAAACAACTTATAACGCAACTCATTTATTCTTAATTTAAAGGTGGAGTGATTTAGCAATATTCCAGCAAAATCACGGCGGGGGACACCGGAAATGGGCTTCACCCATTGTACCCATGTCGGGAATCGAACCCGGGTCTTCGGCGTGAGGAGTGAAAGCTTTAATCACTAGGCTACCCGACCGCCCCTTTAAAGATGGAAATGATATTTGTTTTTTCATAATAACTGAGATAATATCGACTCAATTCTTAATTTAGAAAAAACGTTAATGTTAACCTGTTAAATAAGAGAATATAATGTGCAAATACTTACTAATTAGAGGAACAAACTCGGACGTTTCAGGAAGATTTTCAGCGACGGCTAACATGAAGACTGAGAAAGCCAAGAGCACAGTAATTCCTAGTGCTATTTTCTCACCCGAGTCTGGTGGCAGACAAAAGACGAGCAATGTCAGAGCCGACATCATCACACACGGGAACACCACGTTGTACATGTAGTACAACGTACGACGTCGAATTGTGACGTAAAATGTCACGTCAGGAAAAGGCTCATCGCAGCAAGCATATCGCACAACGTTACGGACAATCTTTATACGTATAAGTTCCCATTCTCCGTTGACGACGTAATTGCTTAGGTCTACCTCTGTTGTCCGGTTTGTAATGTCCACTTGATAGCCATCATATGTCCAAGAGCCGAACTTAAGACGACATCGCTGTATGTCGAAGGGGAAGTAGGTGACGTCAACCTTGCAGGAACTCTGTAGTTTGGTTGGGACAGGCCAAAAGACGTTACCGTCAGAAGCTACCATAGCGTTAGCTGGCATCAGTCCGTCAGTATATTCTGCAGCACTGCAAAAGAAGTGCACTGTTTTATAAGAACAAGGACTGGCTTTGTGTGACACCAATTGATTAACAAGTACATGTACTTTTGAAATTAAATGTTGAAAAGAACATTGAACGGGTGAGTAAAACCACAACCCTTTGTCAAAAACAAACAATGCAATTTGTTGTAATGTTTATTAATGACAACATTCTCACTGTTTCAGAAGTTCCATTCTGAAAAGTTTGCATAAAGAACATAAAATGTAGACTGAGATTTACTGACCTAAATGTACCAGTTTATCACACAGAGGATTAAATCAATGCAATACTCGTATAACGATCAATAGTCTGGCAAGAATATTCACATTCCTACTTGAATCTGGGAATCAATATATCTTTCCTTAATATTCCCTAGAACGTTTCATACATGTAGGCGTAAGTCATGGTAAGGAAACGTATGGCACATACATAAAGATAATGAGAGCAGTGAGACTTTAAACGACATCCCTGGATAAACTCATAGCTTCCACCCAGAGTACGAACATGTGTGATTGCTATAATATTCCCGTCTCTATGGTAACACGTCCTTTAATTTTTTTGCAAGAATGTATTTATGAACTCTGCATATTCGTTCATATGCGAAATTCGTTCTGTCATCTGGTTCCATAAACTACTGAAACGTAATCTCGTATCCCATTTTGCATGTCTGAATACATATAAAACCAATGGATATAAACCGACCAATATTACAGGATTAATAATGACTTCAGATGTTATGGAGTTGATTCATGCAACGAACAAAGGAAATTGAATTATTCCCCGTGAGAGTGTGAATTTAGGTTTGTTTCACTCCTTTAATGACCAGAAACTACATATCACACAATTTGCAATTTCCTTTCAGAATGTCACATGCTGTGGGTCAAATATCAATAACGACTTAAATAAGTGGTAATTGGTTTACAGAAAGGCAATACAAGAATTCATACCCACACTGGAATAAAAAAAGCGACAAAACTCTTTCCATTCTCATAAGAAATCTGTGCGAAATGCCGATTGTACGGAATCCCAATATATTATAAGAATGCGTTGATAAATCAATATGAAGTAGTCATGAAACCAGGTACAGTGGCTGAAAAGTTCTGATCTAACATAGAAAGATTTATTGAACACCCTTAACAGATTGCATGTATTAAATGCAATACTTTTGATGTTTACAGGCTGTATTTGACCATGACAAAGGTTTAAACACGGTGGGTTTCAAGGCTTCTGACGCTGATCTGAAACGCTCCAGGTTCACCATCTCTCATTAAAAATCACATCGTCTTGAAGCAGACCTTACTGCTTCTTGTGAGCGATTTAATGCCATGGACAAATGTTGGGTTCATTTCTATCTGCCAGACTTACAGAACGTCCATCAGCTGCCAAGGTGATGCTTTCGGTTTTCGTCATCCTACAGTGGACTACCTCCCGAAAGGTCAGACGAATGCGTGAGGATAACATGGCTAAACGTCGCTGACGCTGACGTTGTTCCACCACGACAATACATCTGTGCACCCGTCTCTTGTCTCCATGGTTGCAATGCATTAGTGTCGCTTTGAACTCATTGGCGCGATCAGAGTTCCACCTCTTCCCAAACTTTACGAAATACCTGTCTGGCAAGTATTTTATGACGTGGATGACATGAATAACATCAGGCGGATGCCTTCTACACCAGTGGGGTCCAATATTGCTTGAAATTAACGGAAAGGGGACTATTGGAAAGTTGAGTCATCCAAATTGTCAATAGTGTCAATAACGTCTTGTGTATAGCATTTCGCCACTATGAATCGTTAAGCAGAATATATTCCCCAAAATTAAAACGGTTCAGGCGGTTCACTAGTCTCCTTTCTTTCTAGTTAGATAGATAAGGGTAAGGGAATTGGCTATTTGACAATTATTGAACGATACCAGGTCGACGATAAGTTGAAAACGTTTGGCAAAATTCCCTCATTTATACTTTTGCAAATCAGAAATTCCGATTTATACGCATAAGGTCGACAGGAGGCGATGCTCATGGGGATGCCTACCACTTGCCTAAATGTCCCATCCCCAGATTTCACATAGTGTTATCTCAGTAAACATAAGTAAAGGGGGTATATGCTTTCAGTTTTGACGAATTGTCCTGAACCTTTGACGACTGGAAATGTAACAATATGTGGCCACCACGTTTGGTACCAAATGCCCTGTGGATCAAGGAATAAATTTATCTTTATGTTTGTAGTGTGGTATAGTGGTGTACACAATTGAAAAAAATCAAAGAAGCTTTTCAGAAGTTGAAAAAAATCAAGCAAATCCTTTGAGGTTTTTAAGAATCTACATAGTAGTAATTTTCACTTATATAAAAAAGCCCTAGCGTAATTGTATTAAAGATTATCGTTAATCTTTGAGACAGAGGTTTGATGAACATGGAACCAGCAACATCTCCCTCTTTGTACTTATTTTCATTGAGCTTTGGAATCACTTACACTAAGATCTTTGGCCAAACAGTTATTGTAGTTATGCTTACATATATGGTTATGTTATTTGAGGCGTTGTCAACAATTACAAATATTTCATGTCTGGCAGCCATACTTTGGATAAGAGCTCACTGATTCAGACTGAAGTTATTCCAATGAATTTGTGCATTCACACACAGACATGTTGCACCCTATTTGAACAACTTAGGGAGATTATGAACAGTAATATTACCTTTACAAAATTTCCTGGGTTATAAATGGACAAATAAACTTGTGTAAACTTATGTTTTTTATGCTTGTAAATATGTAATATTTAGATTTATATGTCATACTTGCACGAACTGCTTATGCAAAAATTACAAGTAAGTGAAGGAATACCTTTCTTCCAGTACCATAAACATGGTATTATGCCGGAACTCATTACAGGCTAACATCTACCAGACACAGGGCGTGCTTGCGTAAGCACGTTGTGCAGTTAACGTTAAATAATTGTATATGGTTTCAAAAACAGTTGTAACGTACATGTATCAAAATGCCTGCCTTACATTCATTATACAGTGGATGGAATACATTATGTATCGTGTCTTTACAGAACATTTTTCTTTGCTCAGAGAGCTCAATCAAATCAATATTCTGCATAACTTCATTCTTTCGATAAACGCCACAAAGACATTTTCAAAATAATAAGGAGTCTCCACACAAAAAACCCAACTTAACTTACGGTATAAAAACTCAGTTTGCTGTCTTACGCCGCACTCTAAATATTCCAGCTATGTGGTGGCGGAGGGAAACATACATACATAATGTTCATTGGAAGACATTAAACTCACTTGTTATAAAGTACTATATCTGGCAGCCATAATTTGTGGCATGGTATCCTCAACATAGTGATGTTATTGAACATCATTGGATTCCAGGTGAGGAATTCGTCCACCCACTCCTGAAAAGAGGACATACACTGATGCAAAGGGAGAAACAAATGCTTCCTATTTTTATTCACTCAAAAACCGTTCCCCTACGATTCGGATTTCAGTTAAGTTACTAAACATATATACTAACTTGAACGGAAAATGCAATCTAAAACTTTCATTCAATAACTGAGTTATCATTGACAAGTAAAATCATTATTACATGGCATCCTGAAATGTAATTGTAGTCTTTTTAAGGCTTTGGTTATCGTATGTTTTTTTTTCAAATACGACATGGTCGATATTTCATGGAGATTAGATTAAGTATTTTCATGTTTGCCAATATCATTGTTCTATAATGTTCAGTATTTAAGCTTCTTATTAACGCAGTTTATTGTACTAACCTGATCTAACCACACGTTTGTAACGAGAACCTGATTCTTCTCATCCTGAAACAGAACAAGGGTAAACGGTGAGTATTCAGATGTATTCAGAAATGCGCAAGAACCAAGAACACTTGGATGTGCACACAAGTGACAATGAAGACCTTTTCCATGTCCTTATATTCAACAATTAATCGATGTCGTAAACACCAATGCTCGAAAACACGTACATGATCCTGACTGTTGTACAGGGACGTAGTCTACGGTGCACAATTATTATTTGGAAAAACAAAAGACAGACCAATGGAGACTTCTTTGAGAAATAGTATTAGTCTTGGAAAGCTTAAGAAGAATAGAAATCAGCAAAGCCATTTTCTCTTCCTCTCTCAGAACGCAATTGTTTTGTTCTCAATACTGAAAGGCATAAAGGGAATGTATTACCATGTATATGCAGAAAGACTCTACGCAAACTTTACTTTCTAATTGACTTGACGCTTTCTGTCTATTTGGTTATTGTAGATCAAACTCTAGTAATGATAAAAAAAATATTTTTCAGCCGTTCTACAATATACGTTTACAGAAATATTTGTCTTACAAAAAAGGGGGCACGGGTGGCCCAGTCGTCTAAGACGCCGCGATTCACTGTGCAGAGTTGCGTCCCTTGGGCACGCAAGAAACCTATGATTGTGGGTTCGAATCCCGGTTCGCCCCCATTATGTTTCTAGGTTTGTCAGCACCATACCCGTGCTCGTGGGTTTCACCGAAGTGGTAAACGTCTGAGACCTGCATCACTTCGGGCTTTCCTCCCACATTAAGCTGACACACCGCGATATAACTGGAATACTGTTAAAAGCGGCGTCAAACCAAACTCACTCACTCACTCACTCTTACAAAAAGAATGCAAACTAATATTGCACGTGTATACAATAAATTATCAGTATACATGTATATGCCTATTGGATGATTGGTCACCCATATACGTAGGGGCATGTTGTTCAACATAACCATGATCTGAACAGCTTTTCAACGCAGCTGGGTTTTCTTTGTCGGTAAGTTAGCTGACCGGAAGCAGCTATTGATAATGTGCGAAACGGTATTGTGGCGAAAGTAGACATTCTGGATTCTTACGACAAATATTGGTGACAAATATTGATATTTATCGCTTCATTGTTACATAGAACGTTCTTTTAACCTAACAGATCTAGAGTTTAGCTGTAATTCATGTCCAGACATTAATGACGTATGTTTTGTGGGAGGTTCAGTCTGAGACTAATCCTAACGGCAGTATTCAGCAGTCTTAATTCAAGACAGCGTTGGGGTGTCATGCACAGTGTCTTCACTTGGGTTGTCCAAGGACAGAAATAGACGTAATCCTCTGCTTAAGTTATTTTAAAGTCCCCCGCGTGCACAATTTCACAAGGACATCAAGAAGACCCATATCGTATTTTGACTGGCTTTATTTACGTTTTCAGCACGTGACGTTACTAGTGAAACGTCGTTCTTTATAGCAACAGAATCCTAATGCTAATGTTGGCAATGTTCAACATGTGTGCCGAGTCTGAGAAGTTCATTCACAAACGAGGACAACCACAAGATTGTCTGATGGAAACCTAATACCGCTAATTGGAAAACTATGTAAAACAAGAGTGGACCAGGTTGGACGTGGCTATCCCTCAGCTCTTACTCTAGCCTTGTCTGATCAATTTGGGATCTGTAGAATTGTATTTAAGAGTGAAAACAGGATGATGTCGCATCTCCCCTAAGGGGCTGTTTGTCGGAGTAATGAGAGCAATTGTATTCGCCCCCACGCTAACTTCCTTGTTTACATTAGAACCCGGATTGGATCAGAAATTCTGGACACGGGATATAGTTTGCAATCAGATTTTGCTTCCGTCCTTCTCTCCTCGGAGAGCTGGTGTCATTAGCCTATGGCTATTCACAATAACATAAGGAGGGGAAGTATCAAATGTATCGAAAGTGTTTACACTGTTAGTTACTGTTGAATCGCCAATTATCTGACTTAAGGCATGCGTTTATTTACAGATGCAGAAAACTCCAGAACTATTTTCAGATTTCCTTTCAAATTTGTTTCATTTGATAAAAATCGTTACTTATGATATGGTCCCCGGTCTGCATGTCAAATGAAGCTGACATGCTGGGAGTTTCACGTGATGTTTCCTTCCGCACAATCAATGGCTATGATACTCCATTACTTCCGCGAGTGAAAGTAAGATGTCAATGGGCGATCTTCCCGTATTCTGGGTCATTAGTTGCTTATTCAGTCTCACCAGAAGTATAGGTAATTAATTGATAGGTGGAAACAGCGCTGTTGTTGATAAAGGCGAGGATCATGTTGATATGCAAGGATGGAATTGGATATTTTTCATCAGATACCTTCAAAGAATAACACGTGACATCAACAGATCCACCTGTGCAGACCTGAAGAACAACCCACAGGGGAAATTTACCGGAGTTCAAAGTAACTGTAAAGGTCTGATCTAAGACAAGTGATCTGCATCTGCGCTGAGAGTTCCTTTGTATCTGGTTATATCGTCATGTTGTCCAGACTGGACGGGATATCAAACAGGGCTCAATTAGTAAATGACAGTGTGTTTTTTTTCTCTGTGTGTGTTTGTGTGTGTGTGTGTGTGTGTGTGTGTGTGTGTGTGTGTTTTCTTTTTGTGTGTGTGTGTGTGTGTGTGTGTGTGTGTGTTTGTGTGTGTGTTTATGTGTGTGTGTGTGTGTGCGTGTGTGTGTGCGCGCGCGCACAGTTCATCTAACTTGACACTTGTTACAATATTACAATGCATTATTGCGTATTGTGAGGCCATTATATGTACTATTGAAAGATTATATCTCAGGACAACATTCCATTATGTTTTATTTACAGCCAAATTGTTTCCTCCCTCATCATCATAATATTATTTATCTTACGTCAAAAATTAGAGAGTATCAAAATAACTTCTTTATTACAATTACGATTACATAATTTTTTTATATTTTTCCTAATGACCCCAGTAGTCTTTAAAACCACCTTGTTTTAGGTTGACTCTTAGATATGTATTATTTAAAGTATAACCCCTGTCGAATGACACATTCATTTTTGTTTGTGTGCCAAACAGCTTGTTGTTATGTCTCCAATAAATGTTCCCTGTTATAACAGTCAGATAAGTATGTATATTTAAAACTGACCGATAATCACTGATTGCCAATAAATAATGAATAACATGTTGAATCTTGTTAGTATGTGCGCTTTTCGCCCGAACTCTCTGTTGCGATATACGCATGTCGATCATGGAAAGTGTTTTCGGAAACAAATAATTACCGTGAAATAACATTAAAAGGAAACGCAAACATAAAGGTATAAGAACAACCTAAGTTATGCTAATTCAAATATTTACTTTGTGAGGTTTCAAGTTCTTTTCGATCGTTATATTACAAGAAAGTTGGTTGTAGGTTTTATGTGTGTGAATACCATTCACTGTGGGATTGTACACTGCAGTATTAATTCGGAAGGTGACTTTGGAGATGTTGAAAAGATATTAACAATGTAATTTTTCGTACATACGGAGATAAACAATAACAACAGAGAAATTGTAATGGAGTTAATGATAATTTCTGTGTTGATTGCCTCTTCTTCTTATATATCAACAGAGGTGGTCACATTTAACGTAAGCCAAATTGACACGGGTGCAAGTCCAATCACTCTTGCACTAAAATACTTTTTACGAACAAAATGTCGAGCAATATAATAAAAAAAAGTGTTATGAAAATATTCACGGTGGCTACGTTTTATGTCTCGCGCTGTTTTCATGGAAGCCTTTAAATAGTTCAAGAAAAGCAGAATCGATAACGTAATGCTTCGCACGTTGATTAGCCAAGATTGGAGGCACAGAGGATGCTAAAAGCCGGTAAACATGGTTACTGGGTTGTCTAGATTTTCATGATATGAAGGCTATAATTACACTTTATTTTGAATTTGAAGTCTGGAGATTGATAGAACTGGGGGCCAACATGTGTATTAATGCAATATGAAAATAATGTATTTGTCAAGGTATCACAGGTGTCATCCGATTATGGAACGGAAAATAATAAAATAAAGGTTTAGCATGAACTCATGTGCTTATTTTCCACGTCAGTTACATTGGTGTCATCAGTGAGCGTCCACCTGAAACGTACACGGGAACATATATGGTAGATGTCCAAATAGGGAAATATGTCCCTGGTGCGTCTAATTTGGAAATATTCTCCACATTTTTTACAAAGTTTTAGTAAGGCCTTGAATGTTGTAACCCTGATCAAACAGCTTTTGCGCAAGAGTCGTGTGACGCTCTTTGAAGTCGTGGTAGAAAAAGCATGCACGATATCGATTGTACCTCAATTTTTTTTAAATGTAGACATCAAAGGATGGTGCTGCTGGAATATTGCTCGACATAAAGGGAATGTTGACAATTTGAAAGTTGCAGAAATCCCTCTTGTGTATAGTTCTTTGTCGTTCTAAATCTGTATGCATAGATCTAAATATGAATGGGGTGAGGTGGTATCACTAGTCTCCTTTATTTCTAGCTTAGGTGGGTAAATCAGTGGACGGAATTGGCGGTTTGATCGTTATTGAACGATATCCGATCATCGATATATCTGAAACGTAATTTAAAACGTACTGGCCAAATTGCCTTAGTTTGAGATTTCAACTCGTATGTATAATGAAACAGATCACATATTATCATTTCGACATTGCATTTGTGGTCAGGGAGAACCAAAAATGGCTAATTAATTTCAAAACAGATATACAGTAAACTACGGTTATAACGAACCACTAAATGTAGTTCGTAATAACCGTAGTTCTTTATAAGCACATATACATCACATAAACAGCAAATGGACGGGGCCAAAAACACTTCGTTATATCCGTCAGTTCGTTATAAGCGTGTTCATTATAAACGTAGTGTACTTTAGCACACTCTGCGGTAGTGGTCCGGTATTGACGACAAGCTGATTATGGACAATAGCAGATATTATGTATCTATCATTCGAGTTTATAGTACATGCATTGCGCTTGTAACAAAAACTCAATATTGAGAGAAATATTGCAAATCAGTCTATTTCAACCTGAATCATATAATCCTAGTATGTCGAGTTTCCTTTTATCGGGAATGCAGATTTCATGAATCGATTATGTATGAACTGTCAAGTTTCGTAATCAATTGCTGGCAAAATAAAGTCTACAGCCATGATTGATGGTGGCTAATATGAAACAAACAAGAAATGTTTTTTAGATGGGGATGAATTCGAAACAGGTATCATTGTCGTCTTTGGATCTTAAGTTTGGACTGTTTCGGCGACTGTTGTCTGCCTAGTTAAGAATTGGATAACATCTGTAATTCTACAACTTCTTTAATACTGTGAAAAGAGACGTTTCGGTATAGATCCTTATAGCGTTGTCAAGCAAGACTGAACGACAATTTTATGGATAACAACTTCTTTAATACTGTGAAAAGAGACGTTTCGGTATAGATCCTTATAGCGTTGTCAAGCAAGACTGAATGAGGTCTTGCTTGACAACGGTATAAGGATCTATACCGAAACGTCGCTTTTCACAGTATTAAAGAAGTTGTTATCCATAAAATTGTGTCTATCTTGTCATCGTCAACTTCTAAGTAATGCCTAGTATCAAACAATTTATCTGTAATTTTGTGCCCAAATCCATCTTTCATGTTTATACTTTCTTTAGCCCGGCTGTTGAGTACGTTTTAGTTGCAGCCAATCATGACATCATCAAATATATCCCTGACATCCACGTTTATACGTACAGAAGAACCGCGTTGTGTCGAACACGTGGGTACCCGGGAAAAAGTTTGAGTTATCAGGGGAAAAATCGAACATAATGTTTTGAAACATTATTACATGTAATCTAGTTCCTTTGGTTTCATACTACGTTTCAACGTCGATAAGGGGCACGGGTGGCCCAGTCGTCTAAGGCGCCGCAATTCGCTGTGCAGAGTTGCGTCCCTTGGACACGCCAGAAACCTATAATTGTGGGTTCGAATCCCGGTTCGCCCCGATTGTGTTTCTAGGTTTGTCAGCACCATACCCGTATTCGTGGGTTTCACCGAAGTGGTAAATGTCTAAGACCTGCATCATTTCGGGCTTTCCCCCCACATTAAGCTGACATGCCGCGATATAACTGACATACTGTTAAAAGCGGCGTTAAACCCAACTCACTCACTCACTCACTCACTCACTCACTCACACACTCACTCACTCACTCACTCACTCACTCAACGTCGATAACCATATTGACATTATAGTCATAAGTTCGACACAGCGAGGTTCGACTGTATACTGTTAATGATGATATCGCCCAAATCCTGAAATGAAGAGTGCACCCGAGAAAGTCAACCATTCTTTCGAGGCATCTTCGTTTCCTGTTTCTCCTTTTCACTAGTTGCAATGCTAAAGCAGACCCGCCTACATTATATTTGCAAAGGAGACAATCTGTAAGTGTTGTATTGAGCTTTTCGGAACATGCCATTGACAACCTATGTGTTATGGATGCGTTTGCAAAAGGAACATGTAACTTCAGGGTGACGAGGATGAGGTCAACTCCATTTACGACAACCAAACCGCCCACTTCGTAAATGTAGAGTAAACCTCAGTAAAGTGTTTCTAATAATGTTTATCAATATTTCATTCAAATGTGTTTTGTGCTATAGTTAACCAAGACACAAATCTATATTTCGTACATTTATAATCAGAACAGAATGTTGTGTTTTTTAAAGGTTGAATGGGGTGAGTGAGTTTGGTTTAACGCCGCTTTTAGCAATATTCCAGCAATATCACGGCGGGGGACACCAGAAATGGGCTTCACACATTGTACCCATGTCGGGATTGGAACCCGGGAACCACTAGGCTACCCGGCCGCCCCCTTTAAAGGTTGAAGGTACTGGATCTACGTACATGTACATTGATAAATCCCGGTCTGTGACTTGTGAAAATAATCGTATAATATATAAGGGTATATACTGTAGATTTTGAATGATTTCCATACCTTTATAAATTATTTACTTATCAACGTGTTCAAAGCCGACTGACGTAACATACATTTAATCATAACTCCATGCTGTGTTGAAAATAACCATATTTTGTGTACAATGTCATGTGTGTCATCATTCAGATACACAGATCCAAATGTCATATAATTCATCTGTACATATCATGCCAGACAAACTTATTACCAATAACCTTCAGCACACAGCCAACTCACAAATTATAACAACATTCATAAAGCTACCATCAGTCGATTCAAACACACTCACCATATCAAATATTTGTGTTAGCGTTAATCCCATTCTAATAATGACTGCCGTTGTGGCGTTCCTGACCGGCCTCACTGCCTTCTCATAGCCCCTCATAATGTGGTTCATCAGCCTCTGTTCATCGGGGATGTTGGCCATTTCCTCTGGTGTCCGTTGTACTTCCACCAGCTTGATCTCCACAATGTTGGTGCCTTTTCCCCCACATCCTGAAACTAGTGTGACTGTCATAGATAAAGTACACTAATTGATTCATAATGCTGTCATGATATTTCTTGCCAATATTTAAAACATTGTCACTATTGTAGACGTTGGTCATATATATCTGTACGTGATTAATATATATTAATGTTATCTCTAGCAGCATCTGAAACCAATGTAAGGGTTGTAAATATTGATAAGAGAAATAACAAATGAGAATGATACTACAATAATAAAGCGTTATCACCGTTTTATTAAAAGATAAAACTTGAGATGGTCAAAACAAAACATACACTCAACAGTTTCCACATTGACAGTATCCGAAGCAAAACACTAAACGTGTAAACGTCAATAGCTATATAAAAACGACCAAACCATTTCCATAATCATAGACACGTGCGACTAACGTAACTGAACAGTTACACAATGTCCCTCTTCTGTTTGCCTATTTGTGTCTCTTTATGTCCTTTTCTCAGTAAGGGGAGGTCGGGTAGCCTAGTGGTTAAAGCGTTCGCTCGTCACGCCGAAGACCCGGGTTCAATTCCCGACATGGGTACAATGTGTGAAGCCCATTTCTGGTGTCCCCCGCCGTGATATTGCTGGAATATTGCTAAAAGCGGCGTAAAACCATACTCACTCACTCACTCTCTGCTACTGATTATTCACTTATTTGACGTCTTACCTATTTAACCAACAATACTAGTACATGTACTACCATTCACTTCGTCGATGTCATCATTATCTTCATCAGACGGTGTAGGTGTGTTGAGTGTTTTCTTCGTGTGAATCAACAGCCCGTGTTGCTGATTAGTGATGCCTACGTGTAGAGATTCATACATTTCATAACTTTTTGTGCAGAGCCTCAAACTCAGCGAGAGATATATAACAAGCGCGTTTGTGATCAAACCTTTTTTACTTCGTGCTTCAAACTTTTTACAATACTTGAAGAAATCAATACTCTGAAGAGTATCTTATCGGAAATCATGCGCCTCAAGTCTGCATGTAACCTTTGCTTGTCGTTTTGCTTTAGTAAGACATATCAGAAAGGTGGCATTAGATGGGTGCAAGTACCACTTTCTCATAACTCTTTTAATCAGCGGTTATATTAAGATTTCTTTTATCTGGCCTCGACCTCGACGAGGTGTCATTAATTGTATTGACCTTATAGTAAATGCACATGCAATCATGCGAAATGTCCTCAGTGGTTTAATCGCGATACTTTTCTCTGCAGACTGTCGTTTGAGTATAACCTATCTTAAAATATATAGGATCATTGTTCGTACTTGGTATATGTAGGTGTCACGAGTGGTCAACTTGTCTGGGCGCGTTCAATGATGTAGAATCTGCCTGCCGTCGGTTCGAATCCCCAGAAGATTATATTTCTTTGCGACTGAAATACTGTTCAAAGTGGTTTTTAACCCGCAATCTCTCACTCCACAACATTGCAAAGGTTGTACACACGAGCAATACCTTCATCCAAATTGACAAGATGATACTTATAGATATCCCATATGATTTCGGTACATTTGATCTTTCATAACTAAAATGAAATTACTTTCAGAAATGTTTGAACTTCTCCATTGACGTAGCCCAAAAAAATCAGCTATGAACCAGGTTGTCAAAGTGTCAATAACTCAGTAATCTAGTTATCTCCAGTACTTCAGGGAAAGGCAGTAAAAAGCATCTTAGAAGATAACAATAGGCATTCTCAACAGACCAGGCACAGTCTGATCCTTCTTGAGATAACGAGGAACGCTCAGAGCGTCAGGAACCCGGGAGAAGCCACTACTCATTCTCGCGTGGAGCTCCTTCACATGCCCATGAAACTTGCACGGTAAACATAGATCAGGCAGGGACTTTTTATTGAGCCTATCATGTGGTGAGAAGCACGTCTACTCTGCCCATACATCGAGTTTGTTATTCCAGTTTTTTAGCTTCATTTATCACCAGTTGTGAGTGCTGCCTGGTCAACGGGTCATGTCCAGAGACGACTTGATGATCACAGCGTTCTCACATTGTATCACGCTTGGTAAATACTGAAATAGAGTTACCGGAATCCTTTTAGGATTGACTTGATTATACGACGTATGACGTGTTTGTTATGAATAGAAGATAACCGTTCTTTGATGGTCCAAGTTCTCTCAGGAACGTTCTGGAAATTCGTCAAGGGCAGTTATGTCAATCTGCATAATGCGCAAGTCATTGTCCTCAAGACTGATGTACTTATTAAATCATCTGGTTTATGATGTTCTTACTACACGTTCCAGCAAGGATGCTCCTTTGTTCCGGTTCACTTTGTACGTTTCTACTTTTCAATGTTTCATGATATTTAAGTTAATTAACAATTTGTCATTTTCGCTTCGCTCGTCACCGCAAAGACCCGGATTCGATTCCCCACATGGTTACAATGTGAGAAGCCAAGTTCCGGTGTCCCCTATCGTGATATTACAGGATTATTGCTAATAGCGGCGTAAAACCACACTCACTTTCTCACTCACTCTTTTTCGCAACGAAATCGCTAAAGCAGAGAAGTCTTGTTATGTAACCCATAGTTACATCATACACGAATGCTGAGGTGGCCATTTTCAACATCCCTTAAACAAATCAGTCGCTTTCCGGTTATCATGTTGGGTCTGTTGATCTTTAGATAATATTTGTCCACAGTAGAATTCAGTCAACTAGCAACACTTATCAGCAGCAATTTATCATTGATAAAAAGCGAAGGGGTTAAATATTCATCGGAGTATGGAAAAGAATGGTATAGGTTTGTTTACACAGTTGACACTTCAACTAAAGGTTGCCCTATAGTTAAAAAAGTTTCGGGGTACAAATCTATTAGAAAGCTGGTAATCTGTTCGTCACGTTGGGGAAAAGATAAACACTGTGACGAAGTTATCAATAGTTGCTAATGTTTGCTCTAAACATTCCCTTCTATTGACAAAGAACGCTCAACCGCATCGCGTAGTGACACATGTCACTATACAGCAGCGTTTGCAACAAACCAACATGACATTACGTGAGTAGATACTTTTATCATTGAACACTAAGACCGAGGGTAAATGCCATGCCATCATTTATGTTAAAGGTTATTGCTGTTATTACTTCTTACACCAGCATTAGTAATTTCAGTGACATAACCGGATGTATGCTGTTCTATATATGTCAGATCTAAGGGAACACAACCACAAGTTGACCTTGTGATGCGCGCGTCCTAGATATCAAGTTTATGGACGTTCTCAGCGTCAACGGGTTTGTTCCAATATTATGGAACTTTACTGCGTAAATGGTACGAAATCGTTCGTCTAGCGTGAAGTGCATACAATGTCGTTGTTATAATGATTCGAAAAAGTTATAATTAAAACTGTGTCACTTTATACATATTGTTCAAAGTTCGCAAAATATGAGTATTCGTTTACACATCGGTTTCTAGCATTGACATTTTTAAATTGGCATTGGCTATGCTTGTTTGATGTTCAAATATTCTGAAATATTGATAAATGTCATATTTGGCAAACGTGTTCTGCCATCACTTGTGATCTGTTATTATTTCAAGTTGTTCGTCAGTATGACATGCACCACACAGAGACTGCCATGGGTAATGAGTGTTGGACGAACATGTTGTCTCTTCCTTGTTATTTTTCCTGACGTTTTTTGCAATTTGTCCTTGTATTCATTATTGATCCATATATCACCCTGCAGATCCCCATATCTGACACAAATAAATTGCATGCCTCACACGCACTTGTCAGACTCTACTCCCACGTCTACATCAGAACATTGCAAAACCTTCATGTCTGATAAATCGACACTTCACAGTCCCTCCACTACATACATGCATTGATAAAGGCCGATAACTGTTTTAATGCGTCTGTGGGAATGGCAATTCTTTTCATGCAAAATATACATCCTCTGCCTAGCATTGATTGAATGAACTAAATGGATCGTTCTACTAAATATTTCAGTCCGAACTACTTATGGTAAAACTTTCATGAAAATCGTATCAGACAAAATCATTTACCTGGCGTCAATAGGCTGTTAATATAATCTTTTGAAACATTGATATTTCAAACTATCTTCCCGAACAAAACATTGATCTCATTTCGGTCGTAACAACGTAATGTTTGTCTTCAATTGACAAAATTTCAATAATAAGCAGCTTTCTGAGACGTCATTAAACAGACATTTCGGGATGTAGCTTTGAGGCATTGGAAGACAAAGGTTTTCCAGATTAGTAGAATATGGTGCCTATGAATTACATTGACATGCTAAAAAATCTTTGAAAGTTTTTGCATTTTTGATTGGATGTTTGTGCCAGGAAGGCCAATCTTCATTTTTAATATACTTTTCATGGCAAAATATTATTGATTATAATCTCATTAGCATGCTTTGTAATACTATAGGGGATAATTTTACAAAATTTATATATTTCAAGGGTGGCTATCGGAAAAATCTCTGTGTGTAATTTAATAGGTGCAACGTAATAACTGATGACGATACAACATTAACCTTTTCAATGCGTATTATCAAAAATACAATGACACAACAAAGAGTTTCAATGCTGACGTATGCATGTTGCTTTAAAAGGACATTGTCTCATGTGTTTTCAGAAAATGTTATTAACCCTACACACAGTGACGAGCATAACGCCCCAACACGTGGGTTGCAATCTTGGTTTACATATGTTAGCAATATGAACGCAGGGGAATCTAATAATAGCGAAATATTTTCGAGAAACATCCATCAATCACCAGACTACCTCACCACGATCAAAGACAGACATCTCCGATGTATGTGCCCACATTATCTACTTAACCGCTGGTGCATAATTGACATTACACACGATTACAGTATAATATAATCTATACACTTTCCGTGCAGACTTAACACACCAATATATATGCATACTGTAGAACATTAAGTTTATTCTGATAGATATCTTATATGACTAAGTATCACTCTTTTGTTGTATTCACATATACCTGCAAACATTAATAAGTGATAATCGCATCCTTAA